TGCAGAACCAGGAGACAAATTTATACAGTGGCAACAACATTATGACAAACAACTTTGAAAGACTTAAGAAATCTGATCAATGCAATAATCAACCACAATTCTGGAGGACTTGTGATGAAACATAATGTGCATTTCCTGAGAGGGATTAAGACATATTTTCCAAAAAATGGCCAGTGTAGATTTTTCTCTCTTGACTATATATGCTTTTAAGAGAAAATAAAGGAGAGAAAGTGCTGCCATTGATGAAAGTGGTCTTCAAAAGACATTAAAATTTGACTAAGATGAAAAACAAAATTTGAATTTTAAAAAATTTGACTGAGATGCCGTAAGTATAATCTTGGATGAAGGCAGAGAAATGGACTTTAAATTACCTCTATTACCAGGATTTCCGCTTTTTTTTTTATTCTTGAAAGTGGTTGATATTGAAACATGTGACAAGGACAGATAGAGAAGGGGGTATGGTTGAGATTGACTGGCCTTTTCAGATAATAGATCAGTCCCTTCAACAAAATAATTCTGAACAGGAAGGAAAACTATATAGCAGGACTAAGCTCCTGACTTTCCTTCTGATTTCTTGGAGCACCACCAATTATGTACTGTCTATGTGGGGTTATAATAAAAGGACTAAACAGACAACTAATTTCCTGTGAAAGATTCTACTGATAAATCAAACACAAATAGACTGTACTTATAACCATATTTAAAATATAGTTTCTTATTCATCTCTGACTGGTTTTCTCTTCATGAACCATTTGAACCCAATATTTCTCTTGGAATGTACAAAAGGGAACTTCTATCTCTCTTAAAGTTCTAACTATTACCATTAGCTCTACAAGGACAGACATATATTTTGTCTGCTACAGTACCTAGGACAGCACCTTGTATATAAATGCAATTCATTAAGTAAATAAATTAATATACTTATAGTCAACTTTCCTTTCTGCCAGAAAGCAGAATCCACACCTACATCTTTGGTTTAGGGACACATTAAATAGAGCTTGGGGAAGAAGCTCCAAGAAACTTGAATCTAAGGGCTGTAGACCATGTTCTTTCTAACTCTGGAACAAGGACCTACCTTCAGCTCTTTCTTTCTCCCATTTTGTCCTTACAAAAACATCTATTTGTCCTTGGAGATAAATCTCATTCCTCTCCACCCCATCTCAGTGGTATCATAAGATATCTCACCAGTAAGAAGTTCAAGAAGAGCTTGGAAACAGAGTGTCTCAAATGTACTGTCAATCAAGTTCCAGTTTGTATTTCTTGGTGATACAAGCTTCTCTAAGAGGGGAAGACTAAAGAACTAAGTCCACAACAAAAATAATGCAGCTGAAGGCAAAAACCAGTCTGTTTAGAAAAAAAATAGAACTCTTTCCTGAGTGGCCTGTGTCTTTGGATGCGGAGAAAACTAGAATATTCATCACTGGATGCCTGTAGCCTAACTGAGCTTTTGGTCCTTTAATCTAGATAGGGGATCTGTGGTGGCTGTGACATCATCACACCAATTATTTTTGTCCATCTGAAGTAAAGGTTGTCCCACCCATCTCTAGGGAATGAGTCAATGCAGGCAGGGGATACTCAGAGATATAAATAATAGTGTCTGTTGAAGCTGTGCTACATTGAGGAATGAAAACAGACATGCCTTGGAGCTATAGCCAGCATTAAATTTCCTGTTAGCCATCACCAATTAGATGTCCCATATTCCAAATCCCATAGCTTTTTTTCAACAGAGGATAATTTTTTTTTTGCACTATCCACACCCCTGAGATTTGTAACTCCAATTTCTGTCTCTGTTCCTTCTAAAAGAACACTTGTACCCAGGTCATGGGTAGAAAAGTGGTATTTATGGATTGTTCCTTGGAGTTTGGGAATTTGTGTTAGGCATAAAAGAGAAAGTTGATCCAAGGATGGATGTGCAGTTTTCCTGTTTTGTGGGATATTGAATCTACACTTCTGCCTTTGGAGCTCATAAACATGGAATGATACACAACCCAGGAACACATTTTTCTCCCTCTCCCCCTCCTCCACCCTTCAACCCTCCTCTTTCTCCCTCCTGCCTTCATCCCCTTTACAAACTACTCTGAGTGTGACTTTGCTACTATAATATAGTAACCAGTTTGTCACTGCTTACATCTACCAATCAGAAGCACGGAGGCCAGCAACAAATTTTCTTTAGAGCATTCAAAGGGGACCTTATACTGAATCCTAGCATCAGTAGCCCTTGTACATTTGTGAGCTTCTTGGATCAACAGTCCTAGGCAAAGTTCCAAAAAAAAAAATTCCAATTCTCACAATGGCAACCAATTTGTCAATTAAAATATAAGTTTTTCTCATTGCCCATAGCCAGCAGAATCGCTTTGACAGTCTCCTTGTCCTGATGATTTTTCTGTGTCCTTCTATATTATTCAATTTTTGAATTGAATATATCCATGAATTTCAACTTGCTCCCTTATGGTTCTTTGGTTCATGTCTGTTGGTCTCAGCTTGCCCTTCCTTTATCCCCTGCTACTTGCCCCAACTTTTAAATGATAGGTTGTTTTGCTGGGAAAGAAACTTTGGGTTAACTTCTTTGGAAGTGGCTGCCATATTGGACCTGCAGTACATTCTCAAATATGGTAGACCCCAAATGACTAATTAGCATTCATCGTGGGAAAAGTCTCAGCAGAGAGTTCATAGTTTTATGTATGAACTTCTTCTTTGTTCTCATTTGTATGTCTCAATGTTTGTGGCTGTTGATGATTTTTGAGTTAACAAGAGAAAACAAAAAGAAAAAAGTTCCAATATGTTCCTTTCAGCAACAAGCTATACCAAGCTATTCTGTTGGGTGAACCCTTCCTTGTTCCTGCAGCTAAATACTAACTGCCATGGGAGAGGCAAATTTCCCATTTTCTCCCGGAAAGACTTAATGAAAGGAAGGACGCCCCCACCCTATATTCTTTTTAATAGGATCATATGTCATGGAATTTGTAGCTGGAAAGAGCTATAGTTGCTATATAAAAATAATGTGGTCTCTAGCAATGAATGCCTTGATGGTGCATTAATAGAGTGCTCTCCATTAAGACTTTGTCAAGGTAGGAAGGTTTCCTATGATAGAACATATTTAGGTAAAAAATGTTAGGACTGAACAGTAGAAACAGTCAAAATGGCCAGGGTGGCCCAGGAGCGTAAACCAAGTGTAGTAAACACTGTTTATTGTGAAGGAAGCAAAGATTTTTTTTAATAGACTTTTTTTTTGTGTGCCTGTGTCTATCCCTTTTTGCCTACTCAGATCCTTTAAGAGCTTTTGCATGTGCCCTTGATCCCATCTCTTATCTTGTCTGGTAGATTGAACCCACCATCACTCCCCATCTCTTAACTCTTTAATCTCTTTCAATCTATTAGTTCATATTTTCCTCCTTATAAATGTTCCAAAGCCTTCCAAATCCTGAAAATCCTTCACTAGACCCTATCATGCTTCCCATGCTACAATACTCTTCTTTTCATATCCAAACTCCTAAAATGTTGAGGGCCAATCTTAAGAGTCTGATATGGGTTTAAGATCCGAGGCAGAGTTTGACTTCTGCCCAGGCTTTTACCCGAAAGGGCTCAATGATTAAGTGGTACGGCTCTCCAATCCCTTCCTGATTAGGAGGTCCCTGAGACATTCCTTCTCACTCTTTGAACCTTAGATTTACACAGTCACTCCTCTATGCAGGTGGCACCAAAGTGCCTGGGAAAACCTTGGAAAATACAACCCAATCTGGGAACCCTGATAATGAGGAAATTCTTGTTGTCACATCCTCAGCAGATGTTCTGGGGAGTATCTCACAGGGAGGACTCTTTGAAGTTAGGCTAGATTTTCTCTATATATCCTGTGCCCTCAGATGAATAAACTGAGTCAGTAATTCTGCTCCGCCTGGCCCATGTCACAAGTTATTTCACACCTCTCCGTTCAGTGTACAATCTGGTTGCGGGCAGCACTAAAAAAAAAAAAGTCGCATTTATTGCTTCCAATTTCTCTGCAACATATCTTTTAGTCATTTGCAACCTGGTTTTTAATCTCATCACTCAACTAAAATTACTCTCAAAATGTTACCAATGAATCTTGCCTCATACACTTAATAGCTGGGTCCCCCAGGCAAGTCACTTAAATTCTCAAGGCTCTGAGAAACTCTTTAAGATTACTATTTGTAGGGAAAGTGACAACCAGTTAAGTCAGCCTCAGTTTCCTCATCTGTAAAATAGGAATAATACTAGCACCTACCCTATAGGGTTGTTTTAAGGATTCAGTGATATAATCCATGTAAAGTGCTCTTCACTATATAAATGTTAGGTATTATTACTACTAGTTAGAAGGCATTCATTCACTAAATTCCTATAAAATAGAGTATAGGAGAGGTATATAAAGAAGTTGTGGAGAGATTCATTCTAAGCATAGTCTGACTGGGGGACGGATCAGGGTTTCTTAACCTTTTTTTGCATCATCAACCCCTTTGGCAGTCTGTTGAAGCCTATGAAGCCCCTTCTCAGGATGTCTTTAAATGCATAGAATAGGGGCAGCTAGGTGGTGCAGTGGATAGAGCACCAGCCCTGGATTCAGGAGGACCTGAGTTCAAATCCAGCCTCAGACACATGACACTTACTAGCTGTGTGACCCTGGGTAAGTCACTTAACCCTGTTGCCTAGCCAAAAAAAGAAAAAACAAATAAATGCATAGAATAAATTTTGTAGGACAACAGAGGAATCCAACCATATTGGAATACAGTTGTCCGAGTCTCTGCCTGACCCTGGAAACCAAGTTGAGGATCCCAGGTAAAGAACCTTGGGTTCCCAGACAATGGCCTGAAAGGGAGGAGAAAGCTTCCCTGAGAGAGTCCCTAACTGGATCACCATCCTGAACTGAAAAAAACAAAAGACTGGCTCAGCATCTCTCTATCTCACTGCATAAAATAGCATGTGCAAGATACAAAATAAGATTTATTTCAATAATACAGATATATATTCCAAATAGAATATATAGTAATTTAATCTTTCAGCTTCCACTGAAATCTCTCTAGCAGAGATTTGAAAAATGTCCTCCCGTTCCCAGTCTCTTCTTCTCTGGGGCTGTGCTTCCTCACTGGCATTTTCCTTATGAATTCTGGGTCTTGGCTTGTCTCCCCTGGCTGGTGAGCTTTGCCAAGTATGAAGTGTGGCCACTTTGGCCTAGAAGACCTAGCGAGCCCAAGCTCAGAGTAAGATGATGCTGAAAAAGCTGGTGGTCCATAGGGGTACCTTTGCAGACTATAGTGGGAATAAGGAAAGTCAAGATAGGAGCATGCTGCCAAATGGGGCATTTGGAGGACAAATCTCACTCCCAGTTCCTCAAAACCAGGCATAGGAGTAGGTACAGCCAGCAACTGTGCTTCAGATGGGTATTTCATTCCCTTATGGGGACAGCCATTTGGGATCCAGGATGCACAAAGTAAACAGACAGGATAATAAGATGAATTGTATCGGCTAGACCTGTAAGGGGAGAATTTCTTCATCTTTCGTAGAAGAATTTGTTTATAGACATCATTTTTTATTTTCTCCTGAGGGATGGAACTGATGATGGCCTGGACTATGCTGTCGGGGACAATCCCCCCCTCCACGGTGTGTGGCTTGATGTAATTTAAACAGGAGGCTTTTCTCTTTAGCACTGGCTGGGTCTGGCATTGGAGTCTCGATTGAATATCAACTCGGGGGTCAACGTTTGGTCCAACTTCAGCCTGGGGGCCAAGACCTCTGGGACATTTAGTCTGCAGACCAGGACCTGAGGGCAGTACAGCCCCGTGCTTAGTGAAGCTTAGTAGAGCTGTTTCCTGATTACATAGCTGTGTTTGTGTTGTGCCCTGGGGCTTGGTAGAGTCTAATCTAGCTTCAGACTGGTTTGAACTGGGCAGAGGAGTGACTTGGGGGTCAAGACTGGTTGAGTGTGGGACTTGGGGGTCTGGACCCATTAACCATTTTGCTGAGCACTCAGGATGCCATGGAGGTGCATTCTGAGGATCGGGATCTGAGAAAGTTTCTGATGGGTTGAAAAGAGGTATGGTCTGGTAGTCAAGGCCACGCAGAGTTGGGTCCTGGGGGTGTATCAGCAATGGAGGTGATGTCCTAAATCCCAGGTCCATTAGAATTGTGGCCTGCTGGTCTTTCTCCTGTGGCACTACTTCCCATATATTAGCTAGAGGCTGAAGTGAGACCAGGGCTGCTGTATTCTCATCCTGGTGGTCAGGGCTACACATAGGTATGGCCTGACAGTCAGGGCCACATTGAGCTGTGCCCCGGGATTCCAAGTGTGGGGGAGGTGTGGCTGCCTCCTGATCCTGGCCCATTGCAGTCATGGCCTGCTGGTCTATTGTCAGTGACACTGTTTCCCCAGGCTCTTGCTCTGTGTGAACCCAGGTCGGGGCAATGGGATCTCTTGTATCTTTAGCCTGATCATCAGGGCTATGTGAAGAGGTAGCCCTGTAGTCAGGGCTAGGCGGAGTTTTGTCTTGGGAGCTGTCTAAGCCCAATGTGGGTGTGAGCATGATATCCACTTCTGAAAGGAGAGCATCCTGGGGGCTGATCTCTTTTGGCAATGTTTTCCATTCTTCCTGTTCTTTCTGAATTGAGATGACAGCTCCAGAGAGGTCAGGACTGGGAGGACATGTGGCCTGGTGGTCAGATCCAGGTGGAGGAGGTGTTACCCAGTGATCACAGCCAGTTGTATCTGTGACCTGTTGATCTGTTCTCAAAGGCATTGTTTCCCAGAAACCTTGTTCTGGTCGCATCAGGGTATCAGTCGCTGGCCCTGATGTACCCACATTTGGATCAGTATTGGCTGGAAGTGAGCTGTGGTTTCCAGGGCCAAGCAGGGTTTTATCCTGGAGGTCAGAGCCCGGTGGAGGAGCTGTTGCTTCCAAATCATAGCCTAGGAGAGTTGTGGCCTTGTGTTCACTTCCTAGTGGCATTCTTTCCTTGTTTTTCTGTCCTGTTTTACATGAGACCCCAGTGCCAGGGTTTGCTGTATCTATAGCCTGGAAGACAGGGCTAAGAGAAAGTACAGCTTGGTGGTCGGTGTCCAAGAGAATTGTTTCCTGGTTCTCTGGACCCAGAATCAGACTTATTTCTATGTGATCTTGGTCAGTGGGATTTGTGGTCTGCTGATCTGGTCCAGGTTGGACAATTTGCCAGTGTTGTTCTGGTTGAACTGAATCTTGATCACTGGCATCTCGTATGTCCTCAGTTTGATAGTCTGGGCCATGATGAGACACGTCCTGGAGATCAGGCCCACAGGGAGTTGTTTCCTGTTTATCTTTGCTCAAAGGAAGAAGTGTTCCCCCCGGGTCCTCACCAAAGGGATTCTTGGATTGCTGCTTTGTTGCTGGCTCTATTGTTTCACTGTGTTCTAGCTTCAGCTGCCAAGAATCCTGGTCATTAGGGTCTGGAATATTCTCAGCCTGGAGGTCAGGGCTGGGCGGTAACATGGTGCAGTGGTCAGGGCCAGGGGAAATTGTTTCCTTGTCATCAGTGCTCAGACGAAGTATTGCCCCTTGGTCATGATCAGTGGGGTTTGGGGTCTGCTGGTTTGTTTCCTCTAGTATTGTTTCACATTGTTTGAGTTCTTCCTGAAGGGAGACCTGGGCCTTAGGGTCCCCCTGTATATCCTCAGGCTGGTGAGTAGGGCTGGCTAGAAGGATGGCTTGGTGTGGGTCAGGATTAACTTCAGTCTGAAATTCAGGTTGGGGTAGAGATGCGGTCCAGTGGTCAAAGCTAGGTGGGATTGTTGCCCTGCTCTTTGTGCTCTGGGGAGGAGAGGTTGCCCCATAACCCCATCCAAAGGGACTCATGTTCTGGTGGTCTGTTCCCCCTGTCATTGCTCCCCATAGTTCTAAATCTGACTGGTATGTCAGCTGAGCATTAGGATGTGTCACTTTCCCACTCTGGTAGTCAGAGGTGAGAGAAGCTGTAGCTTGGGGCATGGTGCCCAGTTGATTGATGTCTTGTTTATGAGAGACCACTGGAGGTGCTGTCCCACCATCCTGACCAATAGTTGTGGCCTGGGGCCGTATTCTTGGTGGCACAGCTTTCAAGGTATAAGCAACAGAGCCTGGTATGTCCTCAGCCTGATAGTTAGGGCTGGGAGGAGGTGTGGCCTGATAGTGAGGGACAAAAAGAATTGTTTTCTGGCCATCCATGCCCAGGAAAGGAGGGATGACCCAGTGATCCTGTCCCGTAAGGTTCGGGGCCTGGTTACCAGTTCCCAGTGGCATTGTTTTCCTGTGTTCTTGTTCCATTTGAAGTGAGACCTGGGCATTAGGACATGAAGGATGCTCTGGATGGGGAGGAGGTATCACCTGGTAGTCAGGGACATGCAGAGTTTTGTCTTGGAGGTGTAAGTTGAGTGGAAGTTGTCTTGTCCCTTGATCTTGGCCTGTTCTCACTGGCACTGTTTCACAGGGCTTTTTTTCCATTTGTAATAATCCATGGGCCACAGGACCTGTTGCATCCCCAGCCTGCTGTAGCTGATGAGGACCGCATGCAGGTGCAGTCCTGGTTTTCTGATCTGGCTGTGATAAAGGCACCTCCAGAGATTTGGGAAGGTGGTCATTGCGATAGACCACTGATACTGTTTTCCAAGGGCATAGAAGGTTGGGATGCAAGGATGAAGGTCTGTTGGGCTGGGTGGTCCAATTGCCAGTTGTGTCTCTGGAGCAGTGGTTTGGACCAGTGGATATTGAGCCAGCTGAATGAAGCATTGGTTCCAATTTTAAAAATCCTAAAAGAGCATTTGTGGCCCTGATCCGATGCCTGGGCTTAGGCAAAGTCTGTTGACTGGGGTTCACTGGTACAGTTGAGACTGTGACTGAGTGGTTAGGGCGTGTTTGGGGTACTGCTATGAACATGGTTCTGGGAAGATCACCTGGTGGAATTGCAGCAAATGATGGAAATGGGGCCTGATGTTTGGGATGGCTTAGGTCCTCAGCCAGTTGGCCACAGTTTGGGAAAATCTTTGTTAAATGGTTAGGACCAGAAGAAGCTTCTGAGTGGTGGTTAGGATCCAGTGGAATCAGGCTGAGGTATGGGGCGTAGCGGAGGACACTGTTTGCTGAATGTCAGAGTCACAGCAGGCTTGGTGGTTGGGATGTCAGGCCTACTTATGGGCAAGGCCGAGGTGACCACATGGTGCTTGGAACTCGAGGGGGCTTTATTTAGTGTACTCTGGTGACGAAGATGGGGCAGTGGCATCACAACTGTTCTTGGAGGAGGGCAGGGTGTCTGGATGGTTATAATTGGATGTCTCAAACGTAGTGAGGGCACCGGTTCAGTCCTGGGGCGGGGATGGGGCATTGGTTGGATGATTGTCTCTTGGGGCCTGATGGACATCTGCTCAGCCCTCACGTCGGGTTCTTGTTCCCACAGTGGTGAAACCTGATGTGGTGGGCATGGTAACCACACCATCTTGGCCTGGTAACAGAGGTCTGTGTGAGGAGCTTGGACAACTTCTGTAGATGAATAAGAGATGTGAATTATCTCCATAAGCATCTGAAAGTGAATATATGTCATAAGTACATATTACACAGAGAGAGTATATAGGAAATGCAACCATGAAGGAGTAATAGTGGGAGCTCAAGGGACATGATCCAATCCTTGTCTATACTTGGCAGTTGGGATAGCATCTTAAAGCTTTCCAAACACTTTCACATGCATCACTCCATTGATTCCATGCAGGAAGCCCTGATTAGGCAAGGGAGATATCATTTACACCACGTGACACAGATGAGATAAGAGATCCCATGTAGAGAAAAATATTGACTTAGCGTTTGCAACAGATTGAGAAAGTAATGGAAAGCTATTGTGCTATAAGAGATGATGAGAGGGATAAGTTCAGAGAAACCTAGGAAGACACACATGCACTGATGCAGGGTGGAAGGAGAGAAATTGGTACCATCAAAACAACATTGTAAAAACAGACAACTTTGACAGAATGAAGCACCAACATCAGTGCAATGACCCACCATGATTCCAGAGGACTGATGATGATCTATGCTACCTACCCTCCTGAGCCAGAGGTGAGGACACTGGATAGAGAGGAAGACATTTCTTTGGACCTAGAAAATGCAGGGATTTGTTTTGCTTGGCTGCGTATTCATTATGAAGGATTTCCCTTTCCTTTCTTTTTTTTTCTTTTAGCCTAGGGGAAGGGGAAGGTGTGAAGGAGAATAAATAAATGCTTATTAATTGAAAAATAAAATGAAAGTAATAAAAATTATGAGCCATTAAGTCATACTAGACAGAGAACTTTGTAGTCAGAAAGTTCTCTGTTGTTCAGTTGTGTCTGACTCTTCACGACCCCATTGGGGGTTTTCTTGGCAAAGATATTGGAGTGGTTTGCCATTGCCTTCTCCTGCTCATTTGACAGATGAGGAAACTGAGGTAAACAGGGTTAAGGGACTTGCCCAAGGTCATATAGCTAGTAAGTGTCTGAGGCCATATTTGACCTCAGGAAAATGAGTCTTTCTGACTCCAGGACTGGCGCTCTATCCACTGCACCATCTAGTTGCCCCTAGGAAGAAGACCTAGATTTAATTTTGCCCCTGACACTGACAAATACTGGCAATATGACCCTCCAGGGCCTCAAAAACCCTCTCAAGCCATAAGCTACAGAGCAGTTGCTAATTTGCATTAGTAAAAGCAGTTTGCTCTCCGAAAGTTCCCCACATCCATAAAATCATGGCACAGTAGAAAGATTTGTTACTTGTTTGACCTTAGGTAATCAATTACAAAGCACTCATTAAGGGGTTACTGCGCGCCATGTACTGTGCTAAATTTCAGAGACCTAAAGTAAAAAGTCTTTTCTCAAGGACCTTACATGACAATGGGGGAGACAACATGTATACATGGGAGTATATACATAAAATATACAAAATTAGTATAAGGGGATAATAGGGTGGAGGTGGAGGAAACGAGAATCAGTAAAGACTTCATGTAGGTGGTTGAGAGGTAAGTCGAAGGAAACCAGGGACTGACTCCAAGAGCCTGAAGTGAGAATGGAGCATATTCCAGGCACGAGTAACCAGCAGTTCAAAGGTACAGACACGAAAGATAGATTGTCTCTTAAGTGCAGAATAGACTATAGCCTAGGTGATATCGCAGTAGACAGAACATTGGCTCTGGAGTCAGGAAGAGTTGAGTTCAAATCTAGCCTCAGACACTAGATGTATGACCCTGGGCAAGTCACTTAAACACTGTTTTCCTTAGTTTCCTCATTTGTAAAATGGAGATAATAATAGTCTTTACCTCCCAGGGTTGTTGTGAAGATTAAATGAGACAATATAAAATAGTAGTTGTTAATATAGGCAGACACATGGTACTCTGGATAAGGGTACTGCACCTGGAATCAGGAAGACCTGAGTTCAAATCTGGCATCAGACACTTCCTAGCTGGGTAATCCTGGGCGAGTCACTTAACTCTGTTTGCCTCAGTTTCCTCATCTGTCAAATGAGCTGGAGAAGGAAATGGCAAATCACTCCAGTATCTTTGTCAAGAAAACCCCAAAAGGGGTCACGAAGAGTTGGATGCGACTGAGCAACAGCAATAAAAGTTTATCTAAGGAGAGGATGACATGGTGAGACCTACACTTTGGGCAAGCCACTTGGATGGACTGCACCCTCACCCATCACAGGGAGGTTTTACAGAGGGATGGGACAAGTCATTTGGTTTCTCTTGCCTTCATTTTTCTCATCTGTAGAATAAGAGGATTTCCAGACTAGACAGTTTTTTTAAAACTTATCCCAATCTCACTCAGGAAATCACAGGTCTTAAATGAACCAAGGCAAAGTGAAGTGAGAAGAGCCAGGAGATCATTGTGCACAGTAATAGCAATGTTGTGATCTGATCAATTGTGAAAGACTCAGCTACTATGATTAATACAATTATCCAAGACAATTCCAAAAGATTCATGATTAAAAAATGCTATCCACTTACACAAAGAGAACTGATAAATTCTGAGTGCAAATTAAAGTATAATTTTCTCACTTTATTTCTCTCGCTTTTTCATATGACTGATACAGAAATATGTTTTACATGATTTCACATGTATAACTGATATATTGCTTGCCTTCTCAGTGGGTGGGGGAGGGGTGGGAAGGAAGGAGAGAATTTGGACCTCAAAAATTTTTTTAAAAAAAGAATGTTAAAAAAAATCACGGATCTGAGGTTTCTAAGGATGCCTATTCCCCACCCCATCCCATCCAACTTATAAAATCACAGGTCCATTACAAAAACCGAAATGCTCTATAGATGCATTTATTTTTCTCACTTAACAACTCTCTTGAGTTTAGGAATAAAAGTGTTATGATTACCATTTTATTGATTAGCATAAAGTGAGTCCTAGTGAGTCTAGGGAACCAGCCCCAAAGTAAATTGTGGACAGACAGGATTCAAAGATGGGGTTGAAAGGAGAGATGGAGTGAGGGGAAAGAGGAGGGAAACAGGCATTTTGAGTAAAAACGAAAATTCTCACCTTTGGGAAACATCCTTTGTTTTCTCCCCATTCTGCTACAGAAGGATTTCCTTGGGGGAAAACAAAACAAAATGAAACAAAAGCAAAAATAAAACCAATGTTAACAAATAAGCATTTAGAAATTCTGATTCCAGTTATCCTTTCAGCCAAAAGAGTTGGCCTTTAAATCTCTTCACAAGCTGCCATCGTCTAACCTTTTACTCCATCTTTGTCTTTAAGATCTATCTACACTGACTTCCATGCATTCTCTGAAGACACTACTGCATCTCCCATTTCCATCCCTTCTCCCTGTTGTCTGTCTCCCTGCTTGGAATACTCTGTCCCCTCACCTCCAACCTCTTGGACTCCCTGGATTCATTCCTTCAGCTCAGTTCAAACACAACCTTCTGCAAATGGTCTTTCTTGGTCCCTTCCCCCCATACCTGCCTCCACACACCTGCTGCTGTAGCCTAGTCTTTCCTTCTGAAATTCCTTTCCAGTATCTCTGACTATATCTTATATGTATCTAGTTATATACCTGTTATCTCCCCCACTAAAATATGAGCTCCTTGAGGGTTACAGATTATCCTACTTTTGTCTATGTATCTCTAATACTTGGCACAGAGCAGGCAAGCACTGTTTGTTGACTGACTGACTAACAGCTACATAGTTACCTTAGGACCTCAACCCAGCTGGGAAAAATATATAAAGTGAATCATTACTCTCCAGGGACTTGAACATACTCATACTAGTAGTATTTTTCAAAAATAGCAGGACACTAGAACAGCCCAATTCCAAATGTCTTCTGGGGCTTGAAGCTTCCCTTATTGGTGGGACAGATAGACTGGGTTCCTAGTAGATACAAATCAGCTCAGAAAATAAGTTTTTATCAGAAAAAAAAATAGCTCCTCCTGAGAGGACCATATGGTCCTGGGCAATCAAAGAAGAATAGACGCACTTCTTCTGACTGCGAGGGAATAAGACTCAGTCCTATGACCTGACTCATCTACTGGAGACCTCTGAGATCTTTCTGACATCACAAAGCAGCATAGGTGTGCCCATTGTCAGCCCAGAGATATTTTATAGAAGGGGTCTTAAGAGATCACCTTTTTCCTGTGATAAGTAACTCTTATAATCCGAGCACTAACAGATGTTAGAAAATTCAGGCTGGTAAATAGCCCTCGTAAAATGCAAGATGGATCTTTATTATTGCTATTACATGTTTTAAACACTGTAAATCTAGGAGCTTAGAATGAATAAAGGGAGTGGCCTCTGGGAAATCCAGCAGCTCTGAGAATGTGGAAATTAAACATAAACCCCCAAAGGTAAATTTATCTTTAAGATTTCTTGTTAGTAATGTCTTAATAAACATTTATAGAATGTGGGTGATAATCTTACTCTGAATTAAAATGGAGAACCTAGTGGCTAAGGCCATTTTTTGAGAGTCTGGGGAAGGGGGAAGGAAGCAAGGAGAAACTTAAACAAAGAACAAGGCCAAAGCCATTTTGGAATAGCCCAAGTAGGACTCAGATCTCTGATCCAGAACTCTAGTCCTCCTCTCTCAACCTTCTGAGCTTCGAGTCTGAGAGTTCCTGTTGTCAAACCTCCTCTTATTATAGAAATCAATTCAGAAAGTGCTTTAGACCCAGCATTCCCCACTACCGCTCATTATTCCCTAAGGAGATAAAAGATAGAAATAAAAGTCATGAATATATTTCCAAAAGAGCCATTGCAGTACTTTTGGTGGTGGCAAAGAACCTCTGAGAAACAAAGTGAGCACCCAATCAACTGGGGAACGGATGAACAAACTCGTGGTATATTAATGTAATTTTTTTGTTTGTTTGGATCGATGATAGGATATCTAGGTAGGTCAGTGGATAGAGCTCTGGGCCTGGAGTTAGGAAGACCTGAGTTTAAATCCAGTTTCAGATGTTTACTAGCTATGGCACCCTGGGCAAGGCACTTGACTTCTGTTTTCCTCAGTTTCCCCAACTGAAAAATGGAGATAATAATAGCACCTAGCTCCTTTGATGGGCACAGTGTCTGACACATCAGCTACTTGATAAATAAATGCTTGTTCCTTTCTTCCTATGACTTCATTATTATAGGGAGCTCTGAGGATACTCCTTTCATCAGCACAGATGGGTGCCTTCTCTGCAACCTGCAGGGTAGGAAACCTGAGGCCTTGAGGCAATGTGTGCCCTTCTAGGTTCTTGGGTGTGGCCCTTTGGCTGAATCCAAACCTCACAGAACATTTAGTTTGGATTCAGCCAAAGGGCCACACTCGAGGACCTAGAGGGCCACATGTGGCCCCAAGGATGCAGGTTCCCCACCCCTGTAAGGTTGCTTTGAGCACTGAGAGAATGAATTACTTGCCCAGGGTCATCTGACCAGCATGTGTCAGACCAACTCCATCCCCTATGTTGTGGATATAGTGGAATATTATTGTGCAATAAGAAACAGAGAACATGAGGAATTTTGACAAATATGGGATGACCAATAGAACCAGAAAGACAAAGAACCAGTGACTGTAACAGAGGCAGGATGGCCTAGTGAAAGGCAAGCAAAGCTTAGAGGGGCATAAACTTAGGGGCACAAACACCTGGCTTGGAATCCTGACTCAGACACAATATTATTCTGAGTGAGTCCTTTTTACAGAAATGAATGTGATATAAAAATAAAAGCTATAAATAAAATTTATTTTAAAATAAACATAGGTTCCCTTGGTCTAGGTTTCCCTGGGACCCAGAAGGAAGCTGAAGAAATAGAACCTGAGAGTTTGGCCTGGGCCAATTTGAAGACTCTATCTTCTCGCTCTTGAGAGCAGACAAGTCTTCTCGAATCTTGGCCCAACAGCCCACTTATCACATTTTTCCCTAAGAAAAATGCCCCGCTCTAAAGCCCCTTCAGAACCACACCCCACAGGATCTCTTACCAGTAAGAATGTCTACAAAAGCAGGAAACAGGTATCTCAAAAGTGTGGAAGGTCAGTCTCAGCCAGGCCAGTTCTACTCATGATTCTCAGAGGCTACAAGCTTCCCTAAGAGGGGAGGCCTAAGGAACTTGATCCCTAATAAAAATTAATTAGAAAATAGTAAAATAAAGTCAGTTCAAAAATAGCGTTCTTTCTCTTATGAGAAGACTGTGTCCCGGAATGAAGAGAAAACTAGATTTGTGTCTTCAGACACCTAAAATGAGACTGAGTCTTTGGTCTTTAACCCAGGTTCTTCAGACCATCTAAAGGCAATCTGACATCATGAAGCACAAGCTGTCTTTGTCCACCCGAAGCCAGAGCTTCCCCACATCTCTAGGAGACCAGTCAGTGGAAGTAGTTGTGCTCAGAGAGAAATGATATCAACTCATTGAGCACTGCTGGTACGTGGGTTATATAAGCAACCCTGGCTTGATGTTGTATTAAACACTGAATTTTCTCTCTCTCACCAGTTAGATTCCCCCCCACCACCACCATTCTATCCCATAAGCTCTTTCAACAAAGGATTTAGCATTTTTTGGCAAACATAACTTTCTTCAGTTCCATTTTCTGTTGGTTTTGTTCATTTGTTTGTTTGGCTAAGCAATGGGGTTAAGTGACTTGCCTAGGGTCACACAGCTAGTAAGTTTCAAGTGTCTGAGATCACATTTGAACTCAGGTCCTCCTGACTCCAAGGCTGGAGTTCTATCTACTGCACCACCTAGCCGCCCATCTTGCTTCAGTTTTTAACCAGCCTCCAAGCATTCCTATCCCTCCTGAGGGAGGATTTATACCCAGGTCATACGTAAAAAAGAAGAATTTTACAGGTTGTTTCTTTGGAGCTTTGGAATGTTTTAGTTAGAAAAGAGAAAGCTGATCCAATGTGGTATGTAGAATCTGAAATGACTGAGGAAACAAAGGTTTGAGTTTCCAAGCATATCGATTTAATTAAGCAATGCATACCAATTGCATAACAAATCAGGACCAGGTCTCCTCACTTGGCACTGGACCCTGAATATAGGGAGGGGCAGGGAAGAGACATTTTTGTGCATTAAAAGCAAATGATTAACAAGATGTAAACCAGTATACAAGATTAGGTAATCTGGTTTCTAATTGAAGGAAAAATTACAGGATTTCTAAGTTGAGAGGGAGAAAGCAAACAGTGCAATTCCTCAAAATCATGAAAAGAGGTGTCATCCCATTCCCCACCCCCAAGTGTCTCTATTCAATCAAAGGAACAAAGAAGTTAGTAACTGATTGACTAGTACAGGGCCAGTTTTCAGATAAGAAACATAGTTTGCTTGAGATGTATAATTGTGAGAAAACTCCTTGCATCAATCTTTTGATGTGACCAGGTTTCTGGTCAGTATAACCTAGGTCTTTAATTAATTAATTAATTAAATTAATTTCTAAGTACTAGGGAGAGGTGGGCCAGCTTCCCAGGAATGCAGGGCTAAGTTCAAACAATGCAAAACAGTTTTCTTACAGTTTCTATAATTGAATAAAGTTTTCTCACAAGACAGAAATTAGACTAGACCCATAATTGAATAGAAAAGAAACTGAGGTAGATCCAAAATTCAATCATAAGATGGAGTCATTGTGGTTCATTCTGTTCCCACAATTCATTCAAGGCAGGCCCCTTCCCCATGGATCACGTATCTATAGGCCAAATCTATAAGGTTTTTCATACATTCATAATCAGAATTACACAAGTCATGTTACAGATCAGACTACTTAGAAGGCTCATAATAACAGACTAATTTGAGAGGGGAGATTTTATATGCCTCCAAGATGACTAAGAAAATTTCAACATGAGTTAAAGTAATGTAATAATGATCATCAACATTAACTAATATCGAGTCTCCTTATATCCTAGTATCCCACTCCCAATGTTCATTTCATCATTACATTTTGTTTCGAGTCCCAGATGTCCCACGTAGTAATCTGGTCCTTGGAAATGTCTTCTTTCACACGTTGTAAAATAGGCCTAATTCTCAGGACAGCTCTGAAGGGGGCTCTGCTTCTTTTGTTTGCTATAGCTTATAGAGATTCCTAGACAATTCTGCTAAAATCTTCTAATAGCAAGACTTAACACAATTTATAAAACCTACTACATTTGGTTTTCCAGTAACTAGTTTATGTGGTAAAAACCAGTTCAAACCTTATGGAGCTAATCTCATTAACCACAGAGCTATAAGAACATCAAATTAGCAACCTACAATCCACCTGAGGCTGTAGAGAATTTTAGATTTTATATGCCATTGGCTGTTTTTACTTTTACACAAACCCTGTACCTTATATAAGAATTAAAAATAAGAATAAAAAAATTCATGGGGGTCTTACTTGTAAAATGAACTCTTTACCTTTTAAAATATTAGACATACTTTAAAATGAGAAAAGAATTTCACTATCTTTATAATGATCAACACAATTTTATGTGTAAAATCCCTAATCCAATTTTGAGAACTTATTATTACAACATACTCAAAACCTGAATCTCCATGCTAGATACAGTTGGAAGTTAATCATATACATATGTATATAGTTCTTAGAGAAAACAGTCTAATCCTGTCGCTTTCTCAAACTTTACTACTCCATTTAATCAGAAAAGTTTTACACTATATCCTTTATTACTTTATCTAATTCCTTTGCTTACACAATATCACATTTTAAAACATGAAATGGGGGGCGGAGCCAAGATGGCAGAGTGAAAGCAGTGACTTGCTTGAGCTCTCCTTCAAACCCCTCCAAATACTCATAAAAAATGGCTCTAAACAAATTCTGAAGCGGCAGTACCCACAAAAGGACAGAGTGAAACAAATTTCCAGCCCAAGACAACCTGGATGATTGATCAGAAAGGTGTATCACACCGGGCTGGGAGCGCAGTGTGAGCGCACAGGCTGCAGCGAACCTGGAGCAGGCCTCAGAGGACTGAATCATGGGTAGCTGTGGAGGTTTCCAGACTCCTCAATCCATGGATGCCAAAGACAATTTAGAAGGTCAGTGGGAAAAGTCTACTTCTGTCGGTGCTGAGACAGAAAGGCGGGGTTTCACTTCCATTACCCAAGAGCATGGCCGGGGGGGGGGGGGCAGCTGCTTCCCGAGCTTCCGGCCCACAGACTGAGGGGGAATTCAGTGGCTGATCAGAGAAAGATTGCAGGGATCTCTTTGCCAGTGCTGAGGCAGGAATCTCTTGCTTTGCCTGTGTTTGGATCTGGGTCACAGTTCTGGGCAGCTGCGCTGGGGTGAGAAGGAACACTGCCGTGGTAGAGCTTGGAGTGGCTGTGGAGAGGAGCCCTCCTCACAGATACAGGACAGAAAGGAATACTTGTGGTCACAGGCCAGGAAAGGAGTAAACACCTTGCCCCTTATCATACCACCTTGGAAGAACTGAAAATTTACAGGTCCCTACAAGTATCTCTGAAAACAGCTATACAAACCCCTGAAGTTTGGGACAATACATTCTCCACATTGGAAGCAGACTCTTACCTTAACAAAGAGCTTAAAACTCAAGTAATTGGCTGGGATCATGAGCAAGCAGTGCAAAAAGAGTTAGACTATATTGTCTTACTTTGGTGAAAAAGAAGATCAAAATACACAACCAGAAGAAGACAACAAAGTCAAAGCTCCTACATCCAAAGCCTCCAAGAAAAATATGAATCAGTCCCAAGCCTTGGAAGAGCTCAAAAGGGATTTTGAGAAGCAAGTAAGGGAAGTAGAGGAAAAACTGGGAAGAGAAATGAGAGTGATGCAAGAAAATCATGAAAAACAAGTCAACAGCTTGCTAAAGGAGACCCAAAAAAATACTGAAGAAAATAACACTTAAAAAATAGCCTAACCCAAATGGCAAAAGAGGTCCAAAAAGCCAATGAGGAGAAGAATGCCCTAAAAAGCAAAATTGGCCAAATGGAAAAGGAAGTCCAAAAGATTACTGAAGAAAATACTTCCTTAAAAATTAGAATAGAGCAATTGGAAGATAGTGACTTTATGAGAAATCAGGACACAGTAGAAAAATCCAAAAGAATGAAAATTAGAAAACAATGTGAAATATCTCATTGGAAAAACAACTGACCTGGAAAATAGATCCAGGAGAGAGAATTTAAAAATTATTGGACTATCTGAAAGCCATGATCAAAAAAAGAGCCTAGACATCACCTTTCAAGAAATTATCAAGGAAAACTGCCCTGATATAGTAGAACCAGAGGGCAAAATAGAAATTGAAAGAATCCACACATCTCCTCCTGAAAGAGATCCCCAAAGGAAAACTCCTAAGAATATTACAGCCAAATATTACAGCCAAATTCCAGAGTTCCCAGGTCAAGTTGCCAGAAGGAAACAATTCAAGTACTGTGGAAACACAATCAGGATAACACAAGATTTAGCAGCTTCTACATTAAAGGACCACAGGGCATGGAATATAATATTTCTGGAGGGCAAAGGAGATAGGATTACAACCAAGAATCACCTATCCAGCAAACCTGAGCATAATCCTTCAGGGGAAAAAATGGTCATTCAGTGAAATAGAGGACTTTCAAGCATTTATGAAGAAGACCAGAGCTGAATAGAAAATTTGACTTTCAAATACAGGACTCAAGTGGAACATGAAGAGGTAAACAGGAAAGAGAAATCATAAGAGACTTATTAAGATTGAACTGTTCACATTCCTGCATGGAAAGATGATATTTATAACTCATGAGACTTTTGTCAGTATTAGGGTAGTTGGAGGAAAAAAATTATATGTATGTATATATTAGATAGATAGAGGGCACAGGGTGAGTTGAAGATTATGGGGTCATACCTGGAGAATAAAATTAAGGGATGAAAGAGGATTATACTAGGAGAAGAAGAAAGGGAGAGGTAGAATGGGGTAAATCATCTCCCCCCAAAAAAAACAGAAAAGTAAAGTCTCTTACAGTGGAGGGGAAACAGGGGAAGGTGAGAGGGAATGAGTGAATCTTATTCTCATGGGATTTGGCTTAAGGAGGGAATAACATACACATTCAATTGGGTATGGAAATCTGTCTTACCCTACAGGAAAATAGGGGGAGAAGGGGAGAAGAGAGCAGGGGGATGATAGAGAGGAGGGCAGATTGGGAAAGTGGGTAATCAGAAGTAAATACTTCTGAGGAGGGACAGGGTCAAAAGAAAGAATAGAATAAATGGGAGGGCAGGATAAGATTAAGGGAAATAGAGTTAGTTTTTCACAACATGTCTACTATGGACATATTTTGCATAACTGCACATGTACAACCTATATTGAGTTGCTTGCCTTTTCAATGAGGGTGGGAGGGGAGGGAGGAAGAGAGAAAATTTGAAACCTAAAGTTTTAAAAACACGTTTAAAAAAATGTTTTCACATGCTACTGGGAAGTAAGAAATACAGGAAGTGGGGTACAGAAGTCTAT